CTTCAGGAGACCTTCAATAATTATCGCACAAAAAACAAGGATATTTTGGACGGTCAGATGCTGTTAAGCCTTTGAACACCTTTGAAGATGAGGAAGACGAGGAAAAAGAGGAAGAAGGGGAAGACAAAGATGAAATTCCAGAATATCTGTTAGACGAAATTATCGACCTTTTTGATGATGATGACGATGACCAAGATATTAGAGAGAGCAGTGATGTTGATCCACAGCCGCCTCCTAAACGGCAACTGGCCAAATCATTAATTTAATTTTTTTACTTAAAACTTTTCATAACTAACATTTCAAAATTATATTTTTTTCCATATTTTTATAATTTCTTTTTCAATGTTTCTTCAAAACCAACACTGAAAAAATTGGTACATAAGAAATGAGAAGTAAATTAACATTAAGCTGGAAAACGCAAGTTTTGTATTATGATTGTTTTCTTTTCAAATGAAATTTATTGAAGAAACTGAGAAGCATATTATAGATCAAACAGAAAGCAAAAACGACTTAGTTTTGTGGAAAATATGTTCAAAAAGCATGAAAAAAAAAAATTCCAACATTTTGCTTCATAAGCACTACAAAAATTCTCTAAATCAAATTTTTTAATTTTAATTGTTGCACAGGTCTCTAGCAATAATTTGGCTTTAACAGATTGAAAAAATATCAATTAGTCGACGAGTTATAGCCAAAAAACCATATAAACAATATGCTGAAAATCGGCATTTGACTGCAAAGTTCGAAGGTCGATTAAAAAAAATTCGAACTAACATAAACAAACGCCGCGATACGGGTCTTCTAATTTAGCCTCTATTTTCACCCTCACTCTCAGAATCGACCTAACTTTTGCTAACCTGAATTTGTTCCACCCCTGCAGGGAAAGCTACTAGTTGTGAACTAGAATTCTACCGGTTTGCGTTTCAGCCGAACTAGTTCACGTTCTATCCTTTTTCAATGTTAGCGACTGGTATTTTTAACATTGCGATGTCCTACGAGATGTCAATTGTCAGCTATGCATCAGCATCTACTAGTATAAATACTAGTAGCATCATACCAGTTGATGAGATAGTCTGCCAATTCATGCCCCGTGAAAAGCATAAGTGTGACTTTTTGCTCGCGAAGCTCCAGCAGTCAGGTCCCAGGTTCAAATCCTGGCGCAGGGAAAATTTTTTTATTTTCTTTTTTTTTTCATTTTTTTTTTTGTACATTTTTTTTGTTTATGCTGTTTATTGTAATTTTAAAATTCAATAAAAAAAATATTTTTGTTTAATTCCTTTTTTTTAATAGCACAAGCATTTCTCCCTAAATGTTTTTTTGCAATGCAATTAGATTTTCAAATTTGTTATTTATTTATAAATTGAATAAATTATTTTTACTTACATTTATTTAACTTTAAAAATCTTAACCACCTCCAAGCGGCCTCGAACCTGCGATTTCAGAACCAGAACCAGTAGTCTTCACGTGACGCCACAGCCGACATTTGTAATAAAAGCAATTAATTGTGTTTTATTTTTGGGTTTGGCAATTCAAAGGCAGATGGCGCTGATCGCCTAAGTTCTTCAAAATTGTCAAACTGGTAGGCACATACTAGTTAATGAACTAGTATTTTTTTTAACTGGTTTGGCTTTTCACTGCAGGGACAGTGTAATAATGCCCAATTGCGTATGTTACAATTTTTTAATATTGACGATTTTTATGACTCCCCGCCCCATTGCATTTTTGTGAATTTTGGGGGACCTATAAAAAATAGCTAATAGATATTAAAAATGTTTAAATTTGGTACTATTATTGAAAGTCTCCTGCATAGAATTCTTCTTTCTACGAAAAACAGTTTTTTTTTTATATAAAATACATGAAAAATTTTGAGCGCTTTTAGCAACCTCTAAATATTTTTTTGGTTTCAAAATAATTAAATAAGGGTATATTTTTTCTGTGTAGATAAATGCTATGGTGTGAGTGTATTAAAGTTCCGGCTTTAATTTTCTACCACCCTAATATACATACATATGTGCATACATACCACATATAAAACTGCGTTGCTTGTCCTTTTGAGAAAATTGTCGCAGCATCGCTGTTGCCTAATTTATGGATATCAATTTCGGTGCCATTAAAAGTTTTCGAAAAATACTCGCAAAATGCATTTGGAGCGTAGAAGCGGAGATACTCTGTACATTTGTGCGCGAATGTGTGTGCGTTTTTTTTTTGTCCGTTGCATGTCTTCAATTAGTTGCCAACACATCAAATGCATACATAAACGCATGCAATGGGCACTGAAGTACCCCATAAGTGAATATACATACATACATACATATGTACGTACTTGGAGCTCTTAACAGTTGAGTAGTTGCTGTATGTACTCCCATCACTGCGGCTGTTTGCCCCTGGGAGCTTCTGTATTTAATTTCAGTTCTTTCGCGTCTCACATTGCATTTGTGAGTCTGCAGGCAATGGTCCCTGCACTGCTTCTTCTTCTCCTTCTTTTTCTTTTGCCTTCAACTACACTTCACTTTGATATATGTATTTGTGTGTGCATACTCTATTTTATATTCATTCGCGATGTATCTCCATTACAAACTCATATTTTATGTTTTTATTTATTTGCCTGTCAACGTCATTCAGCTGTTTTCTTAGTTCGTTGTCAAAAAAAAAAAAAAATTGAAAAAAGTGGTTCTTATTGGGTGTCGCGTGTTTGATGACGGGCGGCATAGTGAATACCACAAAGCCGAATTAGAGAACCTGTTGTCAATTAAGAATTTCTGAAATGGCATGCGAATGTGGACAAGTGACACTTGGATATGTTTACATTTCTCAAAGTATTTTTCAAAATCGCGCAGCAACTATTTAGCGTTCACGAGAAAGAGAAAATTTAGTGTAAAGGAAGCTAATTAGAATTTACTTTTAGAATTCTAAATTTGAGGAGCTTAACTTAAATTAAGTTTTGGTTTAATTTCAATTTGTGAAAATCTGGCATATTTTTCCAGGCTCCGATTATATCGCATGAGGCGACCCTTGGAGTGTTAGAGAAAAAAGCGTTGGAAAGATCAGGTGGAGAAGGTTTTGGCTGCAGTCAAATGTCGAGCAACATATGTTTAACACGCCCAAAATTGCAAAAGCGGTTATAATGCCAATCAAGAAGAATATTATATGTATCGTTTTCAATACTGAGAAAACAGCCTTGAGCTTTACCTTAACTCAGCGTTTCTAATAGCCAATAATTCACACAATCTCCGAGTAAAACTTTGAAATGTACATAACAACAACCACAACAAGGCATAGATGGAAAACTGTAACTTATAAGTGCCATGATTTAGATAGCCGTACTTGTGAGGAAAGTACCAGAGTTCCTCGAAACGCATATCGATTAGTTCCATGAACTAAATCAAGACTTCAAAATAATCGAACTTATTAATTTTCGCCATGAAATTCATTAGCATTGTCGAAGTCCACAAGCACGGAAGTAAGTAGGTAGATACATAGGTATGGCTGCCACTGCTATTGGGGGACACACATACTAGACCACGAATTGAAGGCCTGTTGTGATACCACGACTAAGAGTTTGCACTCCCCTGCTTAAGCATTGCGAATACTTGACGAAACTCGTCAAGCACGCAAGGTTTATATCTCCCAATTTATCAAGGGCCCTACTCCCATCTCTTGCGGACACTGCCTCACACCAAGGCAAATCATGGACTAGTGCAAAGTGAAAGTAAGTAATCTAGATATTTGGCTTTGATTCTTAATAACGCGAATATTTTGATAGTAGTTGAACGAAGTTGCAGACCTGCCGAGACACTTCACTCCGCAAAACCCCAGGACGTCTCCTGGTATCGCCTGAACAATATCTAACTTTATGCTCAGCGAATAGTCTACGTTTGGCTGCTTCCATCAACAGTGCGCAAAAAGCAGCCTACTTTAAGCCAATCCGACTTCAAGGCATGTTTGATGTCATATCTACAAACTAATGCGGAATTTCCACTAGGCATTGAAATGATAAAAAAATGGAGGCATTTAAAAAATACCATGTTTTTAATGACAATTTTTTTTTTAAGAAATAACACGAATATGTATTTTCTAATGCCAAACTTTGTCATTACAATATTTGCCATTTAATGCCTAGTGGAAATCCAGCATTACCCACATTAAATCACCTTTGCATTCGATTGCCAAGAAACCGTGACCACCTTCCTGTTTATGAAATCTCAACCCCTCAATATCGTAACCGTAGTGAAATCGCCGCCTGGCGCTGATATTAGACCACACCACTATCTACCAAGAACAGACCGACCCATGCCTTACACTTGTATAGCTTGTTAATGAACCTCGCATGGAACTAACGCTGGAACCTATACCAAAACACCTTGCTCCATAACGAAGCGCCAATTAGAGGCGGGAGAAGGCGCCTAATGCTTTGAAAAGATGACGCGACCCATCTGCATAGAGAAGTGGCATTAACGTCAGAGACGCGGTGAATGCTGACTCAACTGAGGATGGCTGGTGCAGCCGCTTCAATAGCTACCTCTCAAGCCTAAATCTCTCACATAATCAACAGGTAGACATGGCGCACATGACACCAACCTCTTTGCATGCTTATTCAATTCGGCGATCCTGACAACCGGTCCTTAGTGTTCGTCCGTATCGAAGAGAAAACTCGATGATACTCAAAGTATCGCTAATAAACACTCGATTCTACTTGTACTCGAAAGTGCTCAGACCGTATGCAATAAAACAACATACACTGGAGAAGGGGTTATGAAAAGCTGTCTGGAAATGGGGTAACTTGAAAGTGCTGAAACAGGAGACGGTAAGTAATGAGAAAGCTCATCGTTTACTTGTGTCTGAAGCTTCTGTTTCAAAACGAATTCTGGACTTAACCAATCTAACTTACATACATATGTACATATGTATGTATGCAGTCTTAGGGAATTTCATGGAATATGGAATTTTTCAATTTAAAATATTTTATTAGCAATTTTATTTTTATCTACTACATACAATACTATACTACAAGGATACATTAAAATAAAAATAAATTAGGTACATATTAAGTTCGTATAAATTATTCAATAAATAATAGCAGTTATACTGTAGCAAGGTAATGTATTTTTATAATTGCTTTGCAAACAAGCAATTCCTTCTCTACACATTCGCATGGGATGAGAACGGCACGTCAAAATCTTCTCCGAAAACGAGAAGAGTATATTATTATCTCTGAGAAGAGAAGAGCTCAAACTCTTCTCAAATGGTTTGTGCAGTGGCTAGTGTGACTATCGGGCGACATCTGTGTGAAGTAAACGGCGACATATTCGCCTGAACGAAGCACTAGATGTCGCCGCAAGACAAGTTGTGGAATCGGTTTGAGACCAAATGCACTACAGGAAGTCAGCCGAACTGGGAAATTTCTTCTTCTTTTCTTTTCTTTTCTTTTCTTTTCTTTTCTTTTCTTTCCTTTCCTTTCCTTTTGCAATGTTTGTTATGTTTTCCGGGCGTTGCAATTCGTGTAACTTAAATGCATTTTTACGTGAAAATATCGAGACTATCAAGTATGCTGGAATCACTGGCAGTACTTCTCCTGCATGATATTCTCTGTGCCAGATATCACAGGGTTCTCTTTCAGCGGACACAATTGCAGCTGCATATCGGGATGCTCCAGCGACTCAATTATTACATAATCGAGGTAAATACGCGGCGAAGCGAGGATACGCCATGTGAGTGGATTCAGGAAATTTGTTTGATATTCCCAGAAAACCGAGGCGTGCTGCGCCGGATCGGCTACATCCCTTCCCGACACCATGGCGCTATATTCGAAACCTGGCTCGAAGTACATAGCCTTCTGAGAGAAACGTATACGTTCGGCGTTGGAGTTTTTCCCGTGCGTTTTGGAATGCAGCCGCACTGAGATGGTGCCAATCTCGCCGCCATGCATCGTACTCTCATCGTGGCCGGATACGCGTACGGTAATCTTGTAGTGATTGCCTGCGAAAAACACGTAAAACGAAATTAAGAAAAAAATTAGTAAAAACACCTTGGAGATATTTTTTTAATTTACTTCACTTACGACAGAAGGGTCTCTTATCGGCCGTCGTCAGGTACAACACTGGCGGCTTATTCGCTTCTAACGCACCAGCTGCTGACAGCTCTTTGTAGTCCGTGTAGGTGTGGAAGCCCATGCGCATGCAAAGCTGTCCATCTTCATTGCAACGCGCGCACATCCCCTCCTTGAACGCCTCATACGACTCACATGTGATGCCCAAGAAAGGACACTTGCTCAACACACTCTCGGTGAAATACTGATAGCTGCGTATATGGTTACAGCTCAAGAACTCCTGCATGCTCAAGAACACCGAACTCTTGCGTCCTTTCATATAATCCTGCAGTCGCACATCACAGCCGGGATTTTCCGAACCACCATTCGGGTAGAAATCAACATGGCCGACACGTTGGAAAATGCCTAAACCACCTTTCAAAAAGGGATTTGCATCCGTATGTATAGCATCGACGAAGTCTGCATCTGAACGATCTAGTCGCACAATGGACTCAGTGTCGGCAAAAAGTGGTCCCGCTGGATCCAGGCCAGTAATGCGGCCAAGTTTAAGACCAAAATCACGTTGCAAATGATAGCCGGCATAGCCAGCCAGGTGTGAGCCAAGCGAGTGGCCGATGAAGTGCACATTGCGCAAGTCCGGCAGGTGCAGCTCCTCCTGTGGTGAAGATAAATTTCTACTTTAGTATGCATACATTTATTATTTTTTATTTTATCTAAGGACACTTACGTAGATCATATGTATGACATGTGCAGCGATGGCGCCGACTAGCCGTATATTTGCGACCGCCTGCACGTATGGTGGGTTGGAGCCGCCACCCCAGTCGATTAGTATGACAGCGGCATTACCCTCCTCCTCGCTGTGCAACAAAGCTTTGGCCATATCTTTCATCTAAAAACAAGAACAGTTTTAAATAGTTAATATGTAGATGTATAAGTATAACACATTAGCGTGCATCACTCAATATACAGAAAAAAATCGACACTGCCTTTCCATCGGAATTATAAAATTATATATTATATTTAAGACTTCCGCCAAAATATTTCGGAAAATATTAAGCTTTACTTAAACTGGACTCATTTGAAAATACCTACAAGAATCTAGTTTTTTTAAGCGTAAATAAATTTATTTAAAAATATATTTTTTAGAAATCATCACCTCAGATATTTAAAAATTTTATCAACGGAACTAACATAATGAGATTTCTGGAGGTATTTTCAAATCACCCCACCTCAAGTAAATCTTTATACTTTTCTAGAGTATGTATTATTGCGCAAGTTTTAAGATATACAGGCATGTTCCGAAATTCGAAAATTTGAAATCGACTCGATTTCGATAATTTCTTCGATGGTTTTTAACCTAAAAAATTACAAGTCTCGCATTAAAATGATTTTTTTCATATCGCTGCTGCTTCTTTTACAGTTTTCAGTGAGAAAATTCACTCCTTTCATCAGATATAATTAAAAAATATTTGGCAAATCGACTCGATTTCAACGTTTCGAATTTCAGAACATGCCTGATAATAAAATAAATACGATGAGAAAGTGGCAACTTTTTTAGTGAGGCACCCTACTGTACTGAAGTTGTACGTTCGAAAAAATATTATTTTTTGCAGTTACTCACCCACTCTACAAGTCCATTTTCTATATAACCGTGTGAGATCAGGAAGATCTTCCCCTCTGGATTTATGCCCAAATGTGTCACAGCCTCTGGATCATTGAGATCTATAAATTTCGGCTGATCTAAGTTTCGCCTCGTATGCAACGTAAAATGTGGCTCTATTTGTGAAGGTTTATGCGGATGTACGTTGATCTGCCGCGTCGGTGTAGTCCATGGCCCATCCAATGGAAAGCAACCATAAACACCATAACATTTAACTTCATTGACATCTGAAAGGTAAGGGGGATGCAAGTTAACAACTATTTGCAATTTATGTGATTAACGATGTTCGATTGCAGTAAAAAGTAAAAAAGAAGGCTTGCTAAAAGAGATATTTATGTACATATATGGATGTAGATGTAAAATAGTTAATCGCCAGGCAAATAATCATACTTTTGAGACTATTGTACCGTTGAATGTTGGTCCTTCTTATTATAAGCAAGCATATTGCAATAATAGCCGTCATCGATTCGCCACTTCTCGCTCGCTATGTTTGAGTTCCGGTCGCTTAAAGAAGAATTTTGCATGTGAAAGCAACAACAAAGTTAGCTAGCACTGATAGACGATAGCGAATTTGGTTGTACCTCATTGATTTCGTTCGTTTCGCCACTCGCTAACTGTTGGCGAATCGATGACGGCTAATGTAGTAAAGATCGAATACACTGATTTATCAATTGATTGGCTTTCTAGTCTTGGCTGCCTGATTACTAACAACAAAGTCACCTTGTGGTAATTTCCCCGCCAGCGACGAAATAATATAAGGGAGGAGAGATTAATTTTTAAAAAGAAGAAAACGGAGGCAAATTGACATGAGTGCATTGAGCTTGAGATGCCGCACAGTGTGGAAAATTACCTTTTTTTGTGACAAAATTAAATATGCCAAGAACAAGAACAGACCACAAAATAACTGTAAGGGAATTTTAAAGCTTAACCAAGTGATGTAGAATTTAGTTTCGTTGGATACAAAAATTACCTTGACTTTTAAAAAGACCTTCAAAAATAGAGGGTAAACTTTTTACAAAAGTTTTAAGCATATATTTTTACTGTTCTTGCGTGAAGGAATCCATTTCCATGGTCGGAAGAACCGAAAAATATATTTTAAATTTTTTTAAAAGAAAGAAAACAAGTGTTTAGGCGCGTCTGCTAACACCAGGCGCCTAAATACATGCTATG